AATAAATGAGATCTTGATTTTATGCAATAAACCTTAATAACATAAAATGAGGGGACGGTAGGCAAAAAGCAATATTTTACTGGAAATCTAATAGAGTGCTTTTTTGCAAGCATCAAAGTACTGTGAAAAAATATGAAATGAATAAACAAATCAAATTAAAAAGCCTAGTAAGTGTAGAAGTATTGGGCTAAATTCATGCCTTGTGGAACAGCAGCAACATTAATGAAGTACATCAGGGACAGATTTGGCCCACTACATTTTGAGCATTAATTTGATCAGGAGCAGTGAGTCAACACAAATCCCACGCAGCAAAGAATTGAGCTCAACCACCACTGCGAGCACCAAGCACAACAGTTTGGATTAGTAAACGGTAAAAATGCAGAACCTAAACATTTTTGCAAGTTAAAAAAATATAGACTATAAAATAAACTGCCATGTAAGCAACAGAGATGAGGTGTAGCCCAGTAATCTTGAGAAAGCCAATTTTTTTTTCAAGTGAATTCAAAGAGCACAGCTGTGCAGGCTGCCCTGGGGTGCTGCTCCTCGCATCACCCCTTTGGTACCTTCTGAGGCATCATGAGAAGACTCAGTCATACAGTGTTGTGTTTTTAAACCCCCAGAGAAGGCTGTTGATACAAAGGGACAGACCTACAGCAGTATGTTTGCTACCAGTGAACAAACCCTGGACAAACTAAAGAAAATCAATTCCTTCCCCTTTTTATGTGCAAGTAAAGGAGTGGGCTGGAGCGGACCCTTTGCCAGTCCCCTGCCTAGCTATAGGCACTGTTGCCTGCCTGCTGGCAATGCAGAAGTCCACCATGCTGCACAGTTCAGGAATGATTCAGAAAACCCCTGCTTGCCCAGCCACGTACCTGTCTGAACCTCCTAGCCTTTCTGCTGAGACAGAGAGGCTGGTGAAGGAATCTCATGATGGTGCTTTTTGCTAGTACAGGTACTTACCATCTCAGGATGGAAGATACGAACCATTTTGGATTTGTCACTCCTTACTACCTGCACAACTTGGATCCAAGCATGTCCAGGTAGAAAAGTATTTATTCCCCACACCCTTCTAACTTCAACTTTTAAAACTCCACTGAACATTTTTTTAAAGCTTTCCTACAAAGTTTATGTCAGCCTTTCAACAGCCTTGGGTACTCAAGGCAGAAAGGCACATAGCAACTTTCAACCATTAAAAATGTTAAAACTAGTGGTTCCTTCCCCTGTCCAAAGTGCAGTAGTGCAGGCATGATCAGGACCACTATCTGAAATCAATTACAACCATTACAAAGAGTAATAGAAAACCCAGTACATGACCAGTTAGGGGGTAAAAAAACCCTGTCACTTGTGATACAAAAGAGAAACAAAAATGGATTTGAAACATTCGTTTCCCTTTATTTGCTCAGTGAGGCTGATGTGTACTGCACATTAAAAAAAAAACCCAAACAAAAACCAAAAACAAAACACAGGAATTTTCATACAATGAATCAAACCACAAAAGTACATGTAGAATTGGCAGGTGGAAAAATAGCCCAGCTTGGGCTTGACTAATATCTCGCTTTCCCTGTTCAGCATAGTCCAACCAATAGCTTTACATTCACCTACTGTACAAATCTTACAGTAGCTCCATCAGGTCAGTGGTTCACATAGGTACAAATTTAGAATCATCACATTATATTACATGGCTACTCTAGGTAATTTATAGATCAGATCTTATATTACAGTGATTGAAGTTCTCATTACAGCAATTGAAGTTCTCATTACAGTCATCAAAAAAGGACACATAATCATTAAGTTTACATCTAAAGGGATGAGAAGAAGGAGTGGCTGTTTTGTTGTTTGTTTTTTTTTTTCAACTGACCCAAGTATTATACCCCAGAGGCATAAACTTTCCTCTCAGTGCTGCTCTTGGCAATGGCCGCCCAACTGCTTTCCAGAGTAGTTTAGCACAGGTATATTTTTCTTTAATTTTAGGCTCCCTCTGTTTGGATTTGGATAATTTTACATTCTGTAGGAATTTGCTACAGCTCTAAAAAAGACCATAGTTTCTAAGCACCAGTTCTGTTACCTGTATTGTGGATGTTGTACTTACCACAGTATGAAAGCAACTGCACAATCTTCATCTAAAAGACACACAGAGCTGTGCTGCAATTTGCCTCCAGTGACAATGTGGTACATGTGCTAATTTGAAATGGTCTTGGGGGAGAAAAAAAAGGAAACGAAACACTGAGTTTATATTTTGATGGGTAACCTACTACAGTGTTTACAAAGGATACAAATAGCTTTATTCAGCAATACTAGCTCTATTAATTTCATATGTAATTTGCAAATCCACAGAAGAAAGCCATTTTCAAGAGGAAAATGTTTGCCAGGCCAGTCAAAAAAAAAAAAGAAAAAAAGGAAAAAAAAAAAATCTACTCATGTCATTATGCCTGCTTGGTGAAAAATAAATGAAAGCCTCCCCCCCCCCCCCCCAAATCCCACACTAATTTGTTCACGTCATTAACCTAGGGCAAAAGAGAATGTTATTTAAAATTTAATCACAGAAATTTAATGGCAAAATAGGTAATGCATCTGGTCCTTGAACACATAATATGATATACTAAATATTGATTTCTTAAAAATAATTTATTGCTTTTAATATTTTTCTTTACAACAGAAGATACTCAAAATCCAGAAAGGAAAATTGTAAACTTTTAGTTTGGCATTCACACAAAGTTAAAATACCTGCATTTTTAACCTACAGAGCAACAACAAGAATTATGCAGATTAAAGAATGTTACAGTTGTAACACAGAACCTCTGAAAAAGTTCATTTTTTTATTGCTATCTATCTACTGAGAAATAAGAAGCCAAAAAATCAAGCAAGCATCCAACAGGACAGACAGTGGAATCTCTCAGAACACAATATGCTGGTGATAAAATGAATGCAGCCATCAAAATCAACTGCACTGGCATGGGGGTGGAATCACTTTTCTAAGATTGGGAGCGGGAAAGGAGATTAAATAGTTAGGTGTGCCATACCTTTAAGAGGAGTCATGAATGCCAAACAGTAATAGAATACCAAATCTATACATTCGCAAGCAAATTCCAAACTTTGCTGATTCAGTCTTAGAGACTCCACGTTCAGATGCAATTCTGATGCTCAGAATAGCAGTAGTATACTCTTGTGGTTTTTTTCTTTCCTGAAGTTTCTACTTAATTTAGCAGAAGCAATGTCATCAACAATGTCATGGGCACATCTGAGGCCATGCTAGTGCATAGTAAAAAAAAGAAAAAAAACCCCAACAACCCACTGCTTCTGCAAAAGCTGAATTTCCAAACAAAGCACTTACTCCAAACTGACAACCATCATGCATCCTAGGAGTAAAACTTCCACTGGCCTTTTAATGATTTTAGTCATCTCATAATTTATAATAAATAGGATAATTGTAACTGATAAATATGTTTCTTTAGTAAACAAAGGAATGAACGATTGGTATTTATACAGGATGTATAACTGTAAAAAATATAGATAAATACCATCATTAAAGTCCGCCAATGAAAAGATTACTGGCTTCAAGAACAGTGTTTAGACACAGAATTACTGTAAAAATCATACTGTACTTAGTACCTCAGCATATTTTTATCAAATTAAAATCACAAAAATTAAAACAAAATAGCATTTAAAAAATATTTTGACCTCTAGTTCCAAAACTACTGTTGATACATAAAATAAAAACATTTCTTAATGATTACCCATTTGAGAGACTTTACATAAAATTATGACATATCCTAGAAAAATTTAGATGAGAAAATTTCATTCCCCTAACAAATTCAGTGTATAAAACTGCAAAATAAAATCAAGCAATGAGAAAATGTGGAAAAATACTGCAGAAGTGATTAATACCTTTTGGGCTAGGATAATTCTTGACAAAATTCCTATATAAGCTCACTAAAGAAGGGATGAATGTGTGTAAAGTATTTTTGCACTCAGACACACACGCATACACATATACGCATGCACACCCTCACCCACACGCTTTTCTCTTTGTTTTTACAATCAAATATATATAAGCGTAAGTTCAGCTTTCTACATGTTAGTGTACAATAATTGTTTCACCTCATATAATTACATTTGAGTATTTTTGATTAAGAAAAAATCAGCGGTTTTTGAAAAGAAGGCTGCATTTACAGTGCATAGCTGTAACAAAAAGAACATCGTCATACAGTATGTACATAAATAAAAATTCTCCATTTAACATTTGTAAATACTCCACTACTTTAGAGAATGTAGCAAATAAACTATCTGTGCACACACCCAGATAGTTATATCCAACTCTCATTAATAATGTAACACCACGTCCGCTCATTAGAATAAATTGCTGGACAAGCTGCACATTTGACCATTAACAAGGCTTTGAAAACTTTGCTGTGGAAGATCAACGTTGTAGACATTTACATGGGTGTCAGAATTAAAAGATGAAACTTCAAAATGTTAGGGAAGCTTGAGCCTTTCATTTTCTCTTCTACAAGGACTGAAAAAACCCAAAAACCACACACACACATAGAAAAAAAAACAACAAAGAAAAGAAAAATCTTAACCCAAAGCTAAATCAGATTGTAGGCTTCTGGAACCTGTGGCTTCTTCTGGATTGTCATTATTATCATCATGTTGTGAGAAGCTTCATTAAAAAAAAAAAAAAAAATGCAGTGTCTGATTCCCAGACATCAGCAGCCATAGTTCTCAAATTTGGGATTTTTTGTTTTATTCATTTTTGTTCTGTTCCTGTTAAAATGCAGTATGTACAGATTTTGCAGTTCTTCATTGTACGTGTATCTCTGTGGAACTGCTGCCATGTCTCGTGGTTTGCATCGAACTCGCAAGGAATGCCTGGCTCCCCCACCACTGACCACCCGCCAAAGCAAAGCTGACACCCATGGACACGTGTGTGCTTATGGCACAGCCATCCTGCCTCTTCACTTGTCGAGCAGCTGTGTTCATGTAAACCATGGTTTTGAAGAGAGAGTGTAAAGTAGGAGAAATTCCTAAGTATGACTTCTTAATTGTCCGTTATTGAAGGACGTGATGTCCGTGAGGTATTCGCCATCCCTCCGTTTTCCTCAGGTGTGATGCACGTTACCTACGCAGGCTCCGCTGTGCCTCTTTAAGTAAACTATCAAAATCCATGGAGTCGTACTTGCTTTTAGTGGAAGCAGGATCAAAATCATCTGAGTTTGAATCTGAAACCCAAAGGATGCAAGTTTTGGTAAGAGGCAAGAACCACTAATGAGTACTTGTATTATGTTCTCTGCAGCATGGTACAAACAAGGCACTGCAGAAACAATCTGCTTAAAACCACAACTTTGTGGGATGATAAAAGCACAGAAAAAGTAATCAGAGAAGTTTTAGGTATGGGCAGAGCTTACTGGTAAGAAGAAGGACTTTAAAAAAGTGGTACAAGTTATCAGCAGTGAGGGAGAACCATTAATTGCATGTACATACAGAGCAGGTAAACTCAAAACAGTTTCTTCACAGACTTGAGCACCAACACACTGCTATATATGGGTCTCAAAGTAGTCCACATAATCTTGATAGACGCTTTACCCAAAACTCCACCACTGTTTTGCAACCGTTGTTTTGTAACATGCAATATCCCAGACTTAATTCTCCTGGGGAAGTTAACAGGGGGATGGCTCTGCCGAAAGGCAGAGCAGCCTGTCAGCAGCGTGCAATGAACACTGCTGCTTCTGCCTGCCCTGCCTTGGGGTCTTGTACAAATCACTACCCCTTCCTGAATCTCTGGTTTTGCTTCCAATCTGATTTTTGGGGGTTTTGCTTTTTTGGAGCGCGAGCAATTCAGGGCAAGGCCTCTTGCTGTACAAGCAGTCTCAGGTGGGCTCCTTGGCTCTTTGCAGCATACATGATAAGTCATTGCAGCAATAATGGTCCAGCCCCTGTGACCTGCAATACCTGCTTCAGTGCTAGTTGCTCAGATACAGATGACAGCCTGCTCCTAGCACAGAGGAGGCATTGTACGTTTACGGCCATGCAGGTCCAGTATGGCAATTATTGACATGGCTACAAGCACTGAATTTCCTTTAGGAGTCATCCCTGCTTAACACTGACTCTCCCCGGCTCCTGTGTCACAGCTCCTTTATGAGAGTGCCCTTTTCTTGCCATTTCTTGTGTTGAATTAATCAGAACTCCCCATCTACCACTGTAAGACACACTGTGCACTAAATGTTCATTACAAGTTCTGTTGAGACAATATCTTCTCACAGAGGAAAGGTGTTAAACTTCTGACTACTATTTTCAAGTATTTTCTTTCTTCTGTTCTTCTCTCTGTCCTTGTACTAGCTCATGAATTTTAAAGTTCATCTTGCCATTTCCTTATGTGGCTCTATCAGATACTCTGCGAAATATAGGGAGAGCAAGTATAGAAGCTCGAGCTGTCAGCAGGACAGAGTGAAAATACTCCACTCACAGATACTCTGGGAATCCCACTCAGTATGGAGAGACCTGCCAGGGAATACTACCAGTGATGAATAATGTTCAAGAGGGTTCCCTTCAGACAATTTATTTTAAACCCCAGATTTTCTGAGATACAGAGGCAACCCTGGCTTCCTCTGTTGAAGATAAGTTAAATCAAGTCAAGACTTCAATCTGTTTTTACTGTTTTTATCAGCCTACATTTTGACAAACACTTTGCTACCTTTTATATTTAACACTAGCCCTATATATCTTCAGCAAGCAATTGCCTTTTCTTAGCTTTATATTATCTGTTTAGCCACTGAAGTGAATTATAGCATATTCATTGTGAACAATGTGTATCATCTTTATCATTTATTCTGAAAATACATCAATTGGTTAGAAAAAAGTGTATCTGCATTCACTTCCTGTATTGTACAAAGCTGAGGTCAGCACATACAAGATTTCATTAGCACTGTGTTACAGGGTTATGAGAGATTTTAATGACTGTGGTCATTTATTCACAAAAAAACCCACAATATCTGATTAATATAGATTCAACAGCAAAATGTCCCTTTCTATGTTATTCAGAAAAGAGTATCTCACATACCTTTAGTCTTTAGTCATACAGATATTAGGAAGGGCTTAACATTTAATGAATACTTTACATTTTAAAAGGGAACTAAGAGGTGAGTTTATAATGTACTATAGTATTACAGAAGATGTTTTGGCAGACTGCATGGTCTCTTTATGCATATACTTAACACCAGTACTCCTGCTGTAAGACTTAAAACATCTTCAAACATAGCAAGAGGAAGAATCACACGCTGACCTAGAGCACAGTACAGAACGATACATTTTTGCCCAGACAAGACTAGGACAGACCCAGATATGTTACTGCAGCCAGAATGTACATTTGGTACTGGAGTTATCACAGCATCCTTGGGTCTGGAGACTGCTAGGCATACTGCCCCACATCAGTGGGACAGCAAACACCAAGAAATTTGCTAAGCTCTCCACAGGCCTCTTACCTCATGACTGGAAGGCCCTGCAAGGAGACACCTTCATACATAGATGCTTATACACTATTTAAGAACCATCAGTTGAGATCCATGGCCTTTGCTATACTAAAGGTCAGACCTGAGAACCTATGAATTGTGCTTAAGGAGTGTCTCTGGTAAGTTCTACACATCTACAGCACAGCTCATGAGAAAGTAAGAATTGTAACTAATTTTCTGGGGTGAAGCTTTGTTCTCTGTTTATCACTCATATGAAAAAATCAGGTATTAAAACCAAGCAGCCATAGTATAGCAATGAATAGTAAAGCATGCAGGAGGTTTCCATAGTGCTATCATTTCAATGGGTAAATGTATTGTTGAATATTGGGCACGTATTTTTGACAATTATGGAAATGGACTTTAAAAGAATTTTCATAGTCTGAAGTACCTGAAGAAGTCAGCTCAGATTACAGCTCAGATTAGTAGACTTAAACTTCTTTCTGAAAGCGAAAACCACTTTCTTTAACCCCCCCAGTGATTTAAATAATATAAGCAGCAAACAAGAAAGAAGCATGTACTTTGATTCACATAAAGCAAAATACCTACCCAGGTCTGCATAGTTAGACTTGCAAAATTGCTTGCGTCCACAGAAGTACAGCTCAAAGTCAGGTTCGTTTGACCTGCGTAAAGTGTATCCATTTTCAAGAGCAGCAAAGGCGTCACAAGTGTAGCGGTAGGTGATGAAACCATAGCTGTCTCTGCAATTGGAAAATACAGTTGTTAACAAAAGCTGAAAAGAGTTAACACACATTAGTGTAACCCCTTCTTGAAAGCAAGAACTCGCAGGAGACCCAGCAGTGGAAATGCCAGAAGTACTGCATCCATTTATCAGCATGATTGTGCTGTCATGCAGCTAAATACTTATTTCTGGGACAGGAAACCTCAACTAGCAAGATTAATAAATAAGGATGAAAGAAAATAAATAAGGTTTTGAACTCAGCATGTCATCTGTCACAGCACTTACATTGGTAACTCACATACCAGTTATCTTACTGCCAGAATTTTTTACATATGGCAGGTCCAAAACAAGAAATAATCTCAAAAGTTCTTACCCATCATCCTGCAAATTTACTGTGCACTCCTCAATTTCACCAAAAGCTTCAAACCGGTCCTTCAGTTCTGTTCGGGTTGTGTCAGGTCTGATTTTACCCAGATAAATCACACGGTGTTCTTCCTGTTGAGAAATAGCAACAAGGCAGGCATATTTTTAACAAATGTGTAATAGAGAAGAACCTATACATATATACATGCAAACAGAGACACACGGATATGCAGAGGATGCATAATTATAGTAATAACCTCTCATGGCAAACCTACTGCATCTTGCTCATAAGTGAAATAGTTCTCTCCTGGAAATCATCTAAGGTACTTAAATGACACTACCTTTGTCAGGTGGTGTGCTCCTGGAAGGTTTCACTGCTTCCTGTCACTGCTCTGTCACACACTTTGTATCTTACTGCACCTTCTTCCCATTCACCCTTTCTACCACTTCTCCCCCAAGACTGTGAACTCTTCCAAACAAGGAGATTCCTTTCTCTTGCCATCCATACAATACTGGGCAAAACCCATCTTAGTTGTGGAGCAGTATTAAGTAGCACAGTAATTGCATAAGTGTACCATAGACATAACCAAATTTAATACAAACATAGCATTACAAACTTAGATGACTCAGTAGCTGTGGTCACCATTACCTTTTGGTTTCTTTGAAAAAAATCTCAGACTGAAGTCCCCAGTTTTTCAGGCTAGGGTATTATTTGCTTGTTCCTTTGACACTTGGAACAAAGCATCAAAGATACTTTTAAAACAATCAAGTCATGGTCATATCTTTCCTTTCTTAAGTGGAAATGCTCAGGAGAATGACAGAAGGATTAGGAAACCCTGTAAGAGTCACTTTATGAATTTTTGGATGAACACTTTACTGAGAGTACATCCATTCAGTGAGCTGCAAGCAATGCAAAAGGCAAAAAGAATCTTCAATACACTGACCTTTAGGTAATCAGGGCAAAGAAGCACCACATGGCTACACATGGCTTGGGTGTGCAGCCTTCTTGTCTCAGATTGCCTTGGCCTGACGAACCCTAGCACTACTGGCCCTGCTGCTCATCTCTTACACAACCATACATTTGTCTCATCGAACCACCACCACCATCACATTCTCAGCTGGCATAAATCTGTCAGTCAGTGGAGCAGTGTCAGTTAAAACCATCAGCTTTGGCACCTGAGATTTGCACAGAATTTAGGTGCCGAATGCCGAAGGAGCTACACTGACTGCTGAGAATTCATGACTATCGTAACCTGGAGGTGCCTAAAGGCTAATAGCACCTCAACTGTGCTATGCAAAAGGCTCTAAATATAGACTCGCGTTCCTGCTCAGAAACATCCCAGCCTGAAGAGACAAGTAGCTTATAGTGTTACAGTGCACAAAATGCATCTTTTCCATGAGTCCCCGCAGAGGCACTAGTCATCCTTGAACCCCAGATAACAGGACTAAGACAAGACCAAAACACATGTAAGAAAAATAAATTACCCTGATGTCTCTTTTTCACTTGTTTGAGCACTCATTTGAGATAAACGGATCACCAAAACTCATAGTTAGGGGGGCCCAAAATCTTGGCTCCCAGTTCCCAGGAGAGCACTCCTGCAACAGGAAACTGAAACAAATATATCTACTTTCCAACAGAAACTCCTCACAAGTGCACTCAGTCACCTATTTTCACTGACTCTTTTCCTGGCCTCACAAATCTCAGGGGTTCATATCCAGTTAATCTTAGCTTCTGAGAAATGAAAGTGAGTTTAAAGCTCCAGAAAATAGAGATTCAAGACTGAAATGCTCCCACCCAAAAGCCCTGCCCCCTAAGGTATGGCACAAAGGGTAACCATTGTAACCACCTGAATCCTTTACAGTTCCATGGTCAGCCCAGTGGAGTCCCTGGTTGCTCTACCGAAATATGTATGTGTTCTCCTTAAACAGTGGGATCAGATCTTATTTAGATCCTTGACATCTTTGCCTCTTTTGATTATACAAGGGACCCTGGTAGTCCTCTATAACCCTGCTAGAAACGACAATTTAATTTCTAAATGTTACGCCTTCCAAAGTGTGTCATCCAAAAGTTGCCCTTGTTCTCTGCCATAGCAGGGAAGTTTGGAGAAGCTATCATAGCTAAAAGATGGACAAATGTGCTCACGGGTGGCCGTAAATTTAGGGAAGAGGGGTACTTTTATAGAGAGCTGCTGCTTTTTATCTCTGTCTCTACTGTGCCTGAGTCTAGAGCCCTGACCCTCCTGACAGAGGAGTTTCGGTAGAGCTTCTGCAAACTAGGGACCGCAGAGTGAAAGCAACAGAAATCTGCATTTCTTCCATTTTCCTCATTCTAATTCTACTTACTTTCAGTATAGTTGGGTGCCATAAACTTCAAAAGCAGAAAAATCTGCATATTCACAGTAACTACTTTTTCAGAGTGTTCTACCAAATCAAGGATTTAACCACTCTGAAACACTTGATAAGAAACAATTCCATTGATACTTGCTATTGAACCTAAATGACTGACCAGATGGAGCAGAACATAACATAGCAGACTGTCTAATATACTTTAGCCGAGATAATACATCTCGACTGAAAAACATAATGTTTCACTCACTGACATCAAGATTGTTATATTACAGTGTGATGGAAATAACTATTGCACACTCTTCCATAAGCCTGTGTGCATGCCTGTGCAATTTTTCCTTCTTCTATCCCTCTAATAACCTTTATATCTCTAACACTCCTTTAAGACAACTGTAATAAAACAAAACTACAATTAAAAAACCAAACCTGTTAAGCTATCATTAAGGGAATAAGTTAAACCTGCAAAATTAGGAAATTTAAATTTAAAGCTGAAATGCACCATATGTCCTCTAGTATGCACACATGAGAAGATGTGTCTAAGCATTTTTTTTTAAGCTGAGAGCCCTGGTGGTGTAAGATATTGCAGAACAGAGGATTCATACAGCATTGTCTTTGGTTTGGTTGAGCTTATTTAAAGCAACTATAAAGAATGTATTTGTATTCACAGAGACACTTGCCTTTTATTCCCATTAATAATAAGTGCTATACAAGCCTAACAAGATTACAACATACCTCTAAATGTTAAAGCCCTTAATTTTATAATAAGTTACAAAGTCCATACGTGCATATTAAATATGGTTTTTACTGCACTTGTTAAGGAGATGATATATGACTTGTAAATGTAGAGAACAGCACAGAAAGCTTTTGTTTTTAATTTAATGTGGGCAGAGGGAACCTGCAGGAAACTCCAGAAGATACTGTTCATATTTCCCTCCCAAAAGTGAAGATGATTTATTTTGCATCATAACCTTTAACTGTAGCTCATTGCTTTGCCAGGTAAAAAAAAGAAAGAAAGATGACTCCAGCCAACTCCCTCAAGCCCAAAATGGCTTATTTTGGTTTATGTAAAGCTTCTTCTCTATAATCTTTCTCCTACTTCCTTGCAGTAAAAACATTTAAATTGGCAGATGTGGCAGAAAATCTCAAACAGAAAAGCAGTATTGCAAATCTCAAATGAAAATAGTAAAGCATTATAATGCAAACACAGAAAGATTGGTGAGACACTGGAATAGGCTGCCCAGGAAGGTGGTTGAGTCACCATCCCTGGATGTGTTTAAGGGTCGTTTGGATGTGGTGTTGGTGGATATGGTTTAGGGGAGAACTTTGTAGAGTAGGCATGATGGTTGGACTTGGTGATCCCAAGGGTCTTTTCCAACCTGAATAGTTCTATGATTCTATGATTCCAACACCTGAGAAAATGGCACCAGGACATACCTTACAAATCTAAGGGTCAACAAAAGGATCACTCATCTTGCAAAAATTCATTGATGATAAGGATCTTTTTGTCTTGCAAAGGCTTCCTCCAAAACTATATTTCCTTTTCCCTTCCTCATTCTTAATAATTTATTTCATAAGGAACTAAGCCATAGACTCTTAGATGTATTAGTTTTTACATCACTAGGCTTCTTCACCCAACACCTGTTAGGTTTGCCTGTCCATGGTGCTGCTAAGCAGGGTCTGAAAGGAACTGATGGCAGCAACTCCAGCTGTTCCACCACATAGTGCTGCTGTCTCTGTTTTCCTTTCTGTTTTTTGTTTGTTTTGTTTGTTTTTTGTTTTTGTGTTGTGTACCTAGTTCTGCAAGAGCCAATTCATGTTTTACGTGAAGCTGAGAGAAGAAATTCAGGAGCATTTTAAAACTTGGGTCTGGCATGGGCATGTCAAAGGCTCTGCTGCTTCTTCTAGCATGGGCGGCTGGCTGGGTCCAAGCCCTGTACCTATTGTCTTTCATGTCAAGGGACTTCTCACTTCCAGTATAAAGCTATGAAGGCTTTTACCCTCAGAGCTAGAGGTCAAATACCATTTTGAAAGTGCAGTGGGAATGGCTGGATGGAGTTTAGAAAATAGAAGTGCTATGGATGGAAAAAGCAATTAAGCTTAATATTCTGAAATAGTAGTAGTAATAATAGTAACAACAACAATAATAAATATAAATAATTTTCTTTATAATCTCTGTTAAAGAAAAATAGTTATGATCTGAGGGCAAGTATGAATGGCAAAAGGAAGAATCACAAAAACCGGAGAAAAAGTAAGTGCTGCCATGTTGCTAACTGAGGACTGAAACAGTTCAGCTACACTCCATAATGACTGCTAGAAAAAGAATGATGAACCAGTAAACCTCAAGATTTAGGTAATTCATTTGATACATTTTCAGCAACTCACACAGTAATGTTAGAGTGCCTGGGATCAAGACTATCAAGATGAGCAATGACAAAAAAATCCAAACTAAATATACAATGCACATTGGATCCTTCATTAGTGGAAATGCACTCCATTAGAGGCTGACTCTGGTTTTGGACTTTAGAGAAGCCAAGCACTCATTTGTGAAACCACCTTTCCCCTGCCTTCCTGTTACACAGCAATTTATTTTCTTTGAAACCATGTGTTTCTTTCCACTGCAGTGGCCTCGCAGTGCATTTATCTTCTTACATCTGTAAGCTCTCTGGGACAGGGATTCTTGATACCTGTCTCATGGAGTCTGTCAGCACTTAGAAATGAAAAGTGGTGATGTTAATAGTAGGTATAAAAGCTGATTTTGTTATACCTCCTGGCAGCAGCCAGTGCACACAGTAAATGAGCTGCAGGGAAGACGAGACCGTAAGTCAGTGTCGTGGCTAGAGCAGCACGGTTAAGGAGATTCAGAACACCAGGCTGCTCATCAGACAGACAGTCCCAACCCTGGTGCACCATGTCAATCAGGAACCACAAACTGGTGACTCCAGAATTGAAATGTGCTAACTGTACTTCTGATGCCATGCCTTGGAAAGCATTTGCATCACGGCCTAATGAGCTTCTGGAGTAAAAACCCACATAACTCAGAAACTTCCGGGAGTGTAACAGAAGATAAAAGGGTCCTCAGTCTCCTTGGCAAATCACTGTGTTCTGCCTTGTTTGGGAACTGGATCCTAGGTTCTACAAAGCTCTAAGAAGACAGTCCTGCCCTGCAGTTGCTCCTCAAGTTTCATGATAAGTAGGTTTCCACCATGATCTGGTTAGCATTATAAAGTTATGTAAGTCTTAGTGGCAAACCATCCTTATGATCAGTGAGGACCCATTCTAAATGAAAATGGGGATCCAGTGATATAAATCAAGTCAAGTTCAAACTAAACTGTGCTCAGTTAGCAAGGGCAGCACAAAGAAAGTATAAATAAACAAATAAATGAATGACAGAAATATTTTTCTTATTCTAACTAAAAAATATCTTGTGGACTCAGGCCATATTTTTCAAGTGTGACTGCTCAAAATTAAGACTCCAATCCACAAAAAAGGCACTGAGACTCCAGCAACTGGAGAGGGGAGAGGAAAATGAAGAATAGAAGAATATCACACTGCCAGATCACAAAGAGACCTTTTCTGTTCACAAGAGCACATAATGATAGGACAAGGGATAATGGTTTTAAGCTAGAGAAGGGAAGATTTAGGTTGGACATTAGGAAAGAGTTATTTAATGAGGGTGCTGGATCGTCGGAATAGGTTGCCCAGAGAGGTGGTCAAGGCCCCCTCCCTGGAAACACCGGGAGAACTTTGTAGAGTAGGGATGACAGTTGGACTCGGTGATCCCAAGGGTCTTTTCCAACCTGAATAGTTCTATGATTCTATGATTCAAGGTCAAGCTTGAGCAATCTGTTCTAGTGTGAGATGTCCCTGCTTCTTGTCAGGGGGTTGGACTAGATGACCTTTATAGGGCCAATACATTCTATGATTCTAAGTCAAGCCACCTCTATATAGTTGTAAGTCTAGACAGGAATTCAGGGATATATACAGGGCAAGGCTAGCCCAGGCTTCTAACTGATCTGAAGGTACTGCAGCAAAGCTCTTGTGTGCAAGACTGAAGGGGCTGCTATTTAAACACACCTCTAAAACAAGCCTCCTCAGCATTCTGCCAATACTCCTTCACGTCTGCCAAAATACAAGCTGCTTGCACAATCAGAGGGCATTGCTGCACATATGGTTTTGACAGATGAAATGATGTGAATTTTTTTCTCATCTCTTTGTCTTAGGTTTCCCATATTTGTTGTCACATGGGAACTAATTCTAGATATTGAACCAATAATATTTGACAGGTTTTAGCTCAGTCATAACTTCTGTTGCCTTTCCAATGTGCATCTTTAATACAACTAACTCCTGAGATCATAACATGGTGATTCTCATGAAGAATACCCACCTGCCCTGTAACTCCTGAGGCATTCAGGCTACTCTTGTAACAGTATCTGGAGTATGTGGCCATGAATCAGTTCTGGCAGCACAAGAACGGGCTAGAAAGAAAATAAAAAATTCCCCAATGCAGAGAGCAAAGAAATCTAAATTTATGGGATTGTAGAAAGAGTTCAAGGAAAGAGAGGGGAGATTCTTGTGTCTGAATAATAAATGAGTTGAGTCTCTCAAGAAAGAAGAGGGATCTGTAAGCCACACACAAGATCTATTAGCCAAAAGGAATAAGAAAGGGAGCAGAGAATGCTAGAAATGATACAAATTTTATCACTGATTTAATGGGATCAGGGCTTCCCTTTTTTCTGCAGTACCCTAACCCCTGCAGTTTTGCACAGGGAATAAATCAGCATGATTCAATACAGATCTTTAAAGTTAAAGTGCTGATAGACTTCTGATAAAGAAGTTAATAGGATTTCATCTACATCTCCTGCAGCTTTTACACAGGTGGCTGGATTTCAAGTTTTTGCCATGTTCTGTTTATTGACATTTATTTTTTAGTTATCATTTATTTATGCTTATTAATAAATAATTTCATTAATGAAGTTAATTATCATTACAATGTTAACTTCAGAAATAAAATAAATTCAATCTTGGTTTTGAAATGTCTGAAATTTTTAACAAAGGAAATTACAATGCAGCATATCTGGAGCTTTAAAAGTTTCTTTTCTTTTTCATTTTCTCTTGATTAGCTACTTGCCAAATATTTGTTTGTTTTAAACTAAATCAAATTTTCTACCTCCACAGCAGGTTTCATGTTTATTTATGATTGTAAGGCACAGTAATTGAGAAATAGCAAGAAACACCCATGACAGAGGTCTACTTGAATCTCTAATTTGTGCTAGATCTGAGAGAACAGACAGTAAGTTACGATTGCTGGAAGGTAGTGTTCATCTCTAAGCAGATGGAAGCCAGATATTTTAAAACTAACTGCAGCAATTGACTTAAATTTAGCCCTGTCTGAAGCCAAACAAAATCATTCCATTGCCTTCACCGAGTTTCAAATCAGCACAGCAGAGCACATTACATACAGCTCTACATCTCATTCTTTACAAAATGCATCTATCACCACTCTTTGTAGACAGCACACCTGAAGCAGAGAAAAGTGAAATGATTTAATGAAGCTCACTAGAAACAACAGTAGCAGAGACAAAAAACATAAAATAGAGGTGCCTATTCCCTCTCACAACTTCTCCTTGCTGCAGACTACTCCAGTCTCTGTCAGTCTCTACACCTCCCCAGTTCTGCAGGTGCAAGAATTAGGAAAAATGCTACCAAGTGCGTGAGAAATCACCTTTTACTCCCAAGTCCACTAAAGGCACTGCAAATAAAATAATATTCAATTTGGTGAGCCTGGGACAGAGCACTACGGGAACATCTGGAAACAAAGATGAAGTGTCCCAGTCTGCACAAGTTTATGCAACAGCCAGAGGACAGACAGAACAGAACTGAAGGTGCAACTGAACAGAAAGAGCAAGACACGGAAAACCAAGTAGAAAATGTTAAAGTGAGCCATGAAACTGGCTTAGCAACTTCAAGAGGACTCCAGATCTACAGTAACTCCCAATTTATCAAAATCAACCCACAGTTGCCAATGGGAAACTAAAGAGGGGCAAAAGCTACCTGTCCATTTAATAGCCATTCTTCTGTCCTTCTGCAATAAGAGCCAAGAGAGCTGCTCATCCCCACATGGGTATTTCCTTTGCCTCAGGTATTTCAGTTGTTTCACACAGAACATTGATGAATAATTTAATAATACATATTCATTGTGAAAGGGCCAGCTTCAAGTGACATTTTAAAATTGCATCACATCTTCAAGACTATTTATTTTGCCAAAATTAACTTAAAAATTAACTGAGCGCAGAAAAAAAAATTAAACTCATGCTCTTGGATCCCAGTTTTGAATTCTGTTATCTATAGACAACTACAGTACTATGAAAGTCCAGCAGTTGGTATGTAAGACAATTTCTTATATTGCTTATGTAAACAACAAATATAGAAAAGAGACATTGATTACTGGCACTCTGGTAGGTGATATATAAATAAAATGGCATGTTCACTGATAGATCTGTACAAGAAACAGACCACTTCACCTTTAGTTGTCTATTGTCTAGGATGAAACCTTTTTCTAGAACCTGAAAAAATCAGTATTGTAACATCAAAACACAAATTGTTATGAAAATACGTATTTTCCTAAAACTTGAAATACTAAGAAGTACATGTAAGGAGATTTTTGTATCTTGTTTTTTCATTTATAAAAAAGAAAGAAAATGAAGTCTGAGTTCTAGCTTTAGAAATCTATGAAAAGAAACAGAATCATTTCAAAATGAAAGTTATCTTCACAGTGCTTACAATTGCTTTCTGCCTCTGTCTCTCCCTTTGTTTGGCCCTTTCAGATTCCCGTTTTTCATACTCTTTGCGGTATTCTTCCCTCTTCAGCCTTTCATGCTGATACTCCTCATAGCTGTCATATCTAGGAAACATAACTTAGTCATTAAATCAAGCACCTGCATTTGTGAATGCAAAATTAGTAATACAGTTTCTGGATTGCTTTATTATATCTTGAGAACCAGCTGCAAAGCAAACCAAATGCAGGCAAAAGGCACTACCTGGGTCTGTGACTGTACGGTGATCTGGATCGCGATCTTGCACGTGAGGGAGAACTTCTGTATGGTTGATGTCTACAGTGGCTGGACTCATAATAGCAACAAGATCTGCAGGAAGAAACATTCACCTCTGTCATTTAGTTTGAATCTATTGACACTGTTTTCTACCTCTTCCCTGAACTTACAATTTCTTCTAGCCTACCAGTGAGATTTTCCAGTGACAGGTTGCAATCTTCTAGTCAACTAAAGGAGCCTCAAGTGCATTCCCCCCTCCACCCTTCTGTAATGTTCCTTATTGAGGCTAACACAGAGCAGAGAGTCAGCCACTGTCAACTTCATCTGATAGGGACTGCAGCTAGATTGGCACCAGGCAGCTCGCAGATAATGGGAAAGGCTAGTTGTGTACGTCTCTCACCAATTGCTCTGTTGCTGACCTGACTGGCTTCACTCAAAAAGTGTACACTTGGCAAATTTAAAGCACAATGGCAACAAGTGTTTCTGTAGCAACCCTGTAACCTTCAGAGTTAATCAGCACAGGAACTACAAAACAACTTGTACTGGATTAAGTTATTTCTTGTTTTTTCCTTTCTTTAAGTTGCTTTATGCCTTTGCTGTCTTCCAAGTAATTAACTATGGTGATGATAAATGAATTTTCTGTACTGTACCTTGAAGAGGATCTACTACAGGGTGACCTTGATCTCGATCGGGAATATGGAGAACGGGAACAAGACCTGCATTGAGGAAAGGACCTTGATCTAGAGCGTGTCCTTTGGGATCTTTGAGAAAATAAGGATTTGGGTGGAGACACTGAATCTCTGCATGGAGAGTTAAAAGAAGAGCAAGAAGGCGAGACATCGAATAATGAATAGGCTTGTGTCCCATCCCAAGGGTAGCACAGCTTATCACTTTCATCTTCACTGTCATCAAAAAGACCATCCATTGCTAGTCCTGAATTTATAAACATAGGTAGTTTGGAGAATTGTTCATTACTGTAATCACTGTTGTTTAGTTCTCTGGTCTTATCTGCTTCTTCATCAAAAACAGCTTGGCTGGGGTGACCAAAATGCTTATTCAGTTCAGCCCGAATTTCCTGGTCTTGGAGCTGTTTTCTGTTATTACCATGGGATCCCTGCTTACTTGTCTGTAAAGTCTCTTTCTTGAAATACTGGTCTTCTTCTAGAGAAGAACAAATCTGACACCGCCACCCAGGTGAAGAATCCTTAATTTCTACTTGTCTGGAGTCCTGAAGTTCCTGGGATACTTTAATGTGTATTTCCGATTTTGAATTCACAGATTGACAGTAATCGTGGTCACCAAACAGCCGCAAACTGGGCCGTTTTGTCTTTCTCTCCTCATGTCCACTGGACAGTACTGTAGTCTTGCTAAGCTGTGCGTACAGCTCAGACTGTTCTGGACCCTTCTTGATTGGGTTATTTCCTTGAGATCCGGAAGACTCACTATAACGGGGCTTTTTTGAAGGTGGTACAACAGTTTTGCATGATGACTTTGGCTTGGGTGAAGTCCTGAAAGGATTATCCTGGTTGGCTTTATGAGGAGGGGTTGTAGGTGGAGTTAGGCCTAAGGGAAAAAAAAGGTGGAACATAATATTTTTAAGCACACATACAACAATGACAAAGGTGGCTCATGTGCTTCTTTAAAACAGATGCAAAAAAGGACCCATTCTATGTCACTTTAACACTACTTATACTGGGAAAAAGACACCACGGGTCTGGTAAAAATGATAGCAACAGTACTAATGCATTGTCATGAATCTTCAGCATAATTTCTGCCCCTCCCCTTCCTCCATGACATCCTCCTCCCTCTGTAGATTTTGAGAGAAAAGATCAAAAGATTAGAAACCAAAAGACTTTTTTTGTTAAAAATAAGAAAGATTTTTATATAAAAATCAGAAGTCAAAAGACTAGCACTGTCAAAAACCTGAAGGAATTAGACAAAAACCTGAATAAAAGCAAGCTCAAGAAAAATAAATGAGTGCTACTAAAGGAACCTCAGTAGGACACAGAACTTGAATGCCAGGATGTACAGCAACTCCACAACTCGACTGCAATGACTCCTTGTCTCCACAGTTCATTAACTTAGGAAACCATTGTTAATGTATGTATAATACATTCTTGTAAGCATAACTAATACATTTTGTCTGAAATATGGTTCTGCAACTGAAACCCAGGTGAACAATAGGAGAACCGTAACTGTAATGAACCATTGCATTTAAAACTAATATTAGCAAGAGTCATGAAGTAGGGAGGCAAAAATAGCGAGATCAGTATTTGAAGACTAAAGATACCACTAACCATCAGGATTGCTCACAGAACTGCAATAGATTGTATCAACACGGTGAGACAAAATTGCAGGAAGGACTACAGCCCATTCAAGTAAACCTGGGAAATGAAGGAGCATCATCCAATTATTTTTAAAATGGTAGAATATAGCTCTCAATGTTTTTTGTAGAAGTAATAGAATTTCTTCAGAATAACAGAAGACTGCAGCCACTGCTCAGGGAATAATTAACTCTTCAGGATGGTATTTGGTATGTTACATTTGAAAAATCTGTTTCCATCCAATTGACCCTACTGTAATTTAAAAGTATATATGCTGAAACTTATACAAATTTAGACCCAGATTAGGCAGTTGTCCTAGATAATCCAGACCGCCCTTAAGAACTCCAGGGGCTGGTGCTGCCCCAAGATTCCTTCTTCTAGCACAAGCAATGAGCTTTCCATTACTTCCTTAGCAAAAATGAAAAGAGAGGGCAGATACTTACAGGAAATGTGCATTTCAGACATGGCTATAGAGTTTTGTTTTGTATTTTTAACCATGCAACAGAGCTCAGCAGATCAATGTAAATGGAATATGTTTTACAGTGTTTTGCTGTAAAGAAGGAAAAGCGTCCATCATTGCCTAGTGCTCCCTAAGGAGCATAAATGGAGACTAGGAGTCCCATTGCATTAGCTGCAATGAATTTGTTCCAGAATAAAATATAGGAGTATCAAGACATGAATACTTGATGTGAGAGAGAAGTTTGATTTTGTCTGAACATTTGGAAAAAAACGGTTCTGAGCTGCCTGTAGCTATGTGAAGACTTTGCCTAATGTCATAAAAGTCAGGGAAACTGAGGCAAAGATAATGATACCTAAAATTCTAGTGACCTCAAAATGGAAATTAATAGTGAAATAGTTTTGCACAAAGTCATAATTGTTATACTATTTCCATTTTTTAGTTCCTTACTGAAAATTCACTTGAGTCAGCCATATGTATTTCACATAGGGCTCATCACTAACAAATATTTTTTATTACCAAATTAATTTTTGGTAAAATCAACAGTCCTTTTCAAAATGCTGCAGTAATAATTTCTGAGGTAAAACTTTGGACTCACATTCAACAAAGGCTTCAGCATGCAAATACTGCTTTCTATGGAAAAAATGAAGAACTGTCACTTTTAATCATGAAATTATACAACCCATGAGAATCTTTGGGGTTAGTTAAAGATTTTTTGGATGTAGTTTTAGAGAAAGAATGAAATAGAAACACAACCACTGCACAACGAACATGCATATTTCAGAATTTCAGGCAAACAAACCCCAGAGACAATCCAATATTCAAAATAAAATACTGCTTCTATTTCAAGTTCTTTAAAGCTAGCCCCAGCAGGAAGCAAGCTAAACACAGAGCAGAACAATTTTCAGAAGCTTGACGAGGAGTCCAACAATCTTTAGAAGAGCAGGAAAAAAACCCTACCAAAAAAAATGCTTGCAAAAGTACAGACTGAGCTAAATTTACTGGCACTTCTCTTGCTGGCAGAACTGTGCTGGGACAGCCTAAGAACGGGCTTCCTCGTGGCATTTTGGCTTTTTTCCTGGTTTTCAGCAGAAGCAGGAAGTGCACGGGCATGTAGAAACAGATAAAAGTTGGAAAATGTTCATTAAACTTTTGAATAAAACTCCATCAGGGGATGGAGGAGGAAGAGAAGTTTTGATTCCATGTCACCGCTATAAAGTCCACCTCCAGCACATCCCATGACCAATCTCCAAGCCATGAACTTTGAGAAACATATTTGGCTGTACACTTGCTGATCTTCACACTAATCCTAGGTAATCTTCACTGAGTGCCATGATCCCACTGACGTACAATATTCTATAACTGTTGGATTATTTTCACACGCACCAATTTCTCTGCCAATGTGTACATTTTAGTGTTGCAAATACAAGGTATGTTCTGTGCTCTCTCTTGAACTTAGCAGGTTTTGACAGATTTATGGAAGGACAGATGGCCATTACGGGCTGAAGGCTGACAAGAGGCAGTTCAGAGCATTGTTAACACACTTGCACAAACTCTCAGCAGTGCAGCGCTGTGCAGAATGTAATTCAGACTATAGCTTTTTTATTGCTGCCTATTTTCTTTTGTCAAAAGAGCCTGCTGTGCACAGCAACAAATGGCTGCCATTACCCAGAATGTAATGGGTGTCAGACAAATCACGTAACACAAACAATCAAGAGTATGTAGGTCATATTTCAACAGAGCACAACCTTAGCAATATTTATGATTACTGCATTGAAATGTGCTCTATAATAAACAAGTACCTCTACATCACTCACACTTACGTACTTCTGCACAGCAAATCTGTTAGCAGTGGTACATACTCCTCTACAATCATCCTCCTTAACAGCCTTTTTTCTTTTTAAAGTAAAAGGCAAGTATTTTTTCAGCACATGCTACAAAAACATTTTCTTTGTCGGGACTTTTCTTTAATTGAATGGCTTCGGTAAATGGTACGTTTGCACTTTGCCTTGCTACATCTATATACTATGAATTCACTCGCTGATCTTGTGCCTGAAAACAGAGTGCAACAACTTGCTAGCACTGCTGCCGAAGCAGGCCCATCCTCCCTGTGTCTGTGCAACAAAATGTGTTTGCACACGTGTTGTCTGCCACCTTGACCAAGCGACTTCTTTCAAGAAAGTCTCTGGGAGACAGAAACTACTTTTGACACATTCCAAAACTCCACATTAAAAAAACCCATAATGACTAATTTAGCATAGCTAGGGTGATAAGCAGAAATCAGGGGAGTGCCTTTGCATAAAATGTGACATCTTTACTTTCTAGAACTGATTTGCAATGCTGTTTTACATAGACACCGATCCTTCTAAAACTCCACTGTAACTGTTATGATTTAAATGTTTCATGAGTTTTGTTGTGCTTTGAGGAGGCTGAGAATTAATGTCTTTTGGGGAACACAGCCCTGGAACCTTTCTACATGTGCATTGGGCTTTTGAGAGGCATTGAAAATGAATGCTTTCATACCTTCTAAGTTTGAATATGGATTGTCAAGAGGAACATTATTTAAGGCCACTTAAAAAACTGAACACAAGATAACGGTTCAACTGAGTAAAAGAATCAGAAGAGCTTCCATGTAGCACAAGATTGCAGAATCCAGGAAAATACAATGCAATTAAATAGCCATCATATAATAAGAAACCTACATGCTTGTTGATTATTCAGTTTAATCCTGTTGTCAGTGCTGCAGAGAATAAACACAGATGCCTGAAAAGATCAAACAATTTACTAGATTTTGCTCCCTCTGGACAACTCCCTGCATCTCACATCTCATTTTATCCAAAATCATTCTGAGGTCAAACAAGTTGTTATATGATAGATTTTAAGTATTTGTTCTGACAACTGAGAGGTAACACAGATCTAGAGGTGGGCAAACAGCAGGGTATAAGTGATCCTCAAGGGTGCTGGTGAATTCCAAATCACTGTTCAAGCTGATTGTGCTCATACAGCCTTTTCTGCTATCTTTTTGGATTTTTTAAACTTTGCACTCAATAAAGACTAGTTAGAAGTTTTACACTCATGCAAATTACAAGGATCTGTGTGCAAATGAGAGACTTTTCACCAAGTCGCCTGATGTAGGTAAGAGTGTGAAAATAGCCTTCCAGTTACTGACTGAGCCTTAAGTGTGTAAACCCATTTCATCCACTTATGCAATGGCTTTGAGTATTCAGGAGTGAATGTTTAAAAAGCCACTGCTCTGCTCTGAGAGAGCAGAAGGAGCCATGCCATCTAACTTCTGTTATTTAAAAGTTCAACAGAAAGTCTAAGACAACCATTGAGGAGCCCTTTAACACAAAGAGAAACATCCTCCTCCAGAGGATGAGTCACACTTCTGGTTCCTGTGCCTGCAGGTGCCCCCTCAACTTGACAGATAACAAAGAGGAAAGAGGTCTTCCAGTGACACAGAAACTTCCTGTGTTCCTAGAAGACATTGGAGAAGTTCAAGCCCATAGCCTCTCAGCAGGGCACTGGCAATGCAGCTAGCTGTGAAAAAAAAGGGAGAAGGATGGCTTGTGAGCCTCTTATTCCAAATGAGACTTGCCTTACACAGAAATTTTATCCACTACATTATCATCACCTAGGGCTCCCTCCATATCATGATGTTCTGGTCCATTTACATTAGAATAGTATTAGGAATCAGCTGCAGGAGTTGGAATTTCAGACAGCAAGGGACTATCATAGGTCACCTATTTCAAATGAATTCTTACATGTAATTTGAAAACACTTTAAAAATATTTGTTCCTTGTTTGTAATTTAAAAAAACAGTGTTTTGACAGTTTAAGGGAGGACAAACTTACTTATTCACAACTACTAACAAATCCATTGTAAAGCAAGATACAGCCTCGGCAAGAGAACAGTTTCAGTTTGACTTTAGATACATGAATCCAAAATGTGCATGTGACGAAGATTGATGGCTCTTGTGGGAAATGCTTTTATTTATTTATTTTTCTACTCTATAGTTAATTCATCAGTGAGGGAACCAACATTGTTTTCAGCAGAGAGATCAAGGGAGCTGCTATTTATATTAAAATACTTCGTGCTTCGATAGTGCGAGCAGCAGTGCTAATGGTCTTTTCAATTCAGCAGTGAGATCAAGGCAACTCCTATTTAAATTATAATAAATAGTGCTCATACAGTGCAAGCTGCCCTATATAAGGACAATGAGCAATGCGGTTATCTGGATATAATTTGGAGTTGCCAGGGTCTCACTAAAGAACTCTGTGGTATTATTAATCACTACTGACACTATTTTTCTTTTTTCTTTAATTTTTTTTTTTAACCAAAGTGCCATGATTTACTCAAATACACTAAGTTCTTCAGTACTTGACATTGTTTCTGTTATGTACTTGTTTGCTTTCAGCAGACTCATGACACAACTATCACTACTGCAATAAAATGAGTTAAAAAGTAAGACCGGCACAATCACTCATCTTTTTATAGATTTATATACATATATGAATGTGGAAAAAAGCCCATGTGTATGTGAAGGCAGAGACCAATACAGTTACTATGTGATGAAATACAATTTCCTGAAACCTTCTCACCAGATACTGTGAAGACCAGAGCCAGTGCAACATGAAGTCCAAGACCCACCATCATGCACATTGACTGGTAACACTGCTCCAGCTCCCTGGCCACACACGCTCCACCAGCTTAATTCTTCCTGATTATCATTAGTTTATTTCCTAGCTAGACTATTTTTTTGCAGAGTGGAAAAAAATATTTTGTTTTCATAGTACAACATTCCTGTTCACATATTCATCCAGTTGTGCTATTTCACAGCATTTTTTAATGCAATAGTTCTCCTGGTTACATTGTCTAAGACAACCACAGAGCTGTTTTATTTCCTCCTCTGTCCACAGCTGATGGAGTGGAATGAATTTGGTAATACCAAGACCATTCCTGTCGCCATTATGGAGGCAATACTAGAGGACTATTCAGGGGTCAGACAGACGCCTAATTTCTGTCTAGTCAGCTGATGGGAAGAGCAGGCTGCTGACTTTCTGGCTAGGAAAAAACACTGCTCCCTTCAGTGATTTCAACGGCTGCTTGTAGCACTCTGCTGTAGTCACCTCATCTGCCCCTTTCAGTTGGCAGCACTAAGCACTGACTTACCAGTGTGCTTACAAATGGGCACCCTTGTGCAGATTTGCTCTCCAGCAACAATAAAAAGGCTTCTCCATGCCTCAGGCCTACTAACACTGAATGGAATAATCCTGCTGCATACAGTGAATTTTGCCATGTCTTTGTTGGTTTCCCAAAAAAGAAGGTGCATTGGAAGGATGATTCCTTTTGTCACGGGAGGAATTATTCAGGCTGCAGGTTTTCAGGACACAGAAGAGGAAAGTGTGCATGTTTTAATGCTGAACTAATGAAGCTTCTGAAAAAGCGAAATGATGGTTGTAGGGAGGTGAAAGCCCAAAATAAATTCTGGGGCCTGCTCTTGTGTGAAGCTGCCACTGAATTTTGGAGCACCAAGCTGATTTATCGTACCTGAAGACATATTTTGCAATGCCCCTCAAAACGCTACAGGTCACATAATTTAAAGCCCACTGTTATCCTGAGAGAAATCCATGTCAAGTATATCTCTTTTCAGTATTACAAAACTGAGAAAACAGTCTTGGCAATAACTCAGGTGGAATTCATTGTGAGCTCTTGTGCTCAGCTCTGGACGCTTCAGGAAAATTGGGGCAAGACAGAGTTCAGAGGAAAGCAGTAAAACAGATCTGAGTCTGAAGAAATTTACTTCGGCAGGAAGAAGAACAGATGAACTAAACAAGTACAATGGGTGATGCATTAACTAAATGAGCCTATGAGAAAAAATCTACAAATCTGCCAAAGGTACGAACACCAGGGATCGGAGAAGAGGAGGAGGATAAAGGGAAATTTTATAAAGTGTGCTAACAGAAGAAATAAAGAGAAAGCAAGGTTATAAAATGAATACCAATTTAAAAAAAAATACCTCTAAACTGTGGAATAGTTTTACAATGGTAGAGGAGAAAGCTGTTATTTGTGATATATTAATCTAGAATCGACAAAGCACTGAAACATGCAGTCACGCACAGCACTAGACTGGCCTGGAGACAGACCAGATGACATAACTTTTCCATCTGTAACATCTATTACACTGTGCTGTGGGGTTTGTCTTTGAAAGATGGTGCTCAGCGGTAAACAAATCTATAGGGAAATGGGAAAGTAGAACAGATAAATGGTTTCATTCATATTTTCCCAGAAATTATGCTGTCTTCTGTAGGTTTGGAGGCATATTTTCAAACACTCCTTCTCAGGTAACTGGATAAAAAGTCAACGCTAAAGCGCACTGAAGTTAATCTACTGGACACCTCTGTGAGATCTTGGTGTTCATGTGGTATATTAAAATGAACAAACACACACAAGCCATGCTTAAAGAAGTCAGCACTCCCCATTTCTCACCTGCAGTTCCAGAGAGTTCCACACTTAAGGTTTGTTCAATAGTCTTGTTCTCAAATGGGGAACCCTTGGGATCACTGGAAGACAGGGCACATTTATAAAAACAAGCTGAAATGGAGTTGCTGTAGCCAAAATCTATTGAACACCCCTCCCTTTTGTAAATGTTTGCACTTTTTAGTACTTACTTTGGTGACTCGGGTGTCAATGGAAGTGATAAACTTGTTGGTTTGGCTAAAGAGAAAAAGAAAATTATTATATAATATTTTGAACACTCCATAATTCATACTAAAAAGATTTTTTTTTTTATTATTTTATTTTGGTGCTGGAATCCCATGTTAGTCAGTTAGGGCTGAGCTCTGATAGTTCAATACCATTTCACAGAACCACAGAATGTTAGGGGTTGGAAGAGACCTCTAGAGATCATAGAATCCAATCCCTGTGTCAAAAGCGGGATCACCTAGGGCAGGTCACGGTAAAACATATCCAGAAAGATCTTGAAAGTCCCCAGAGAAGGAGACTCCACAACCTCTCTGGGAAGTTTGTTCCAGTGCTCTGTAACCCTCACGGTAAATAAGTTTTTTCCTCATCTTGAGGTGGAATTTCCTGCATCCTAGTTTGCTTCCATTGCTCCTTGTCCTATCATAGGGCACAACTGAAAAGAGATTTGCCCCTCCTTCTTGACACCCATCCTTGAAATATTTATAAACATGAATAAGATCACCTCTCAGTCTTCTTTTCTCTAGACTAAACAGCCCCAGATCTCTTAGCCTTTTCTCATAAGACACGTGGTCCAGTCCCTCAGTCATCCTTGTAGCCCGCCACTGGACTCTCTCAAGTAATTCCCTGTCCCTCTTGAACTGGGGAGTCCAGAACTGGTCTCACTAGGGCAGAGCAGAGGAGGAGGAGAACCTCCCTTGACATACTGCCTTCTTGGCCACAAGGGCACATTGCTGTCCCATGGATAACTTGTCCACAAGGACTCCAAGGTCTTTCTCCACAAAGCAGCTTTCATTTCAATGCATCTGAGATAGATAAATAAGGAGACTCCTCCTGACTCCTCATATACTGGTAGCAAAAAGGCACCTAAATTTCAACAATTATTTACATCAATTACTGCACCTCTGAAATGCAGTACACAACCCAAATGCCAAGAACATTTCAGCAGAAGAGTGGTACATGTTAAAAAACAATTAAGAAATCTAGAGGATACACTGTGAAAATGTAATTTCTCTTAGAGTTAATTTAGACTACAGTTCATGTTTTATTTGAAAACAGAAGCAGCAGAATAACTATAAAGTAACAGATCGTTATGAATATTCAGTTAATTTTACTTCTACAATATACAGTTTTATATGTAGCACTGAGAATAGGTTTTTTCTATGAGGCCAGAATCCAACCAGTTACCTTCCAAATTTCTGAAAATTACCTTGCAAACCACAACAAGCCATGGACATAGTCACAGACAATCCCAACGTACACACAAAAAAAGCTCTATCTATAAAAATGCAAGTCTTTGTAGCTTTAATTCATGCAAACTTGTGTTTTCCCAAAGCAAACTAAGAACTAGGATATTGTAACGCAACTAAGATTCTTTTAACTGCCAGTAAAATGTTTAAAAATTAAAAATAATATTACTTGCAAATTTTACTTTTCAGAAGTTAGATTGATGTTTAAACACAGAGAGCACTGTACCAAGAACAACAGCAGGGGATCTCTTCTGCAAATTAATTACTTAAGACAAAATGTTCCCCTTGAACACTCCTGCACTGCAGATCTTTTGTCCAGAGTGTCACTGCTGCATATTTCGTATTCCTTCCAGGCTTGGAGCTCCCATCAACATTAAAGGATTTTATATGCAAATTGATTACTTTTATAAGCTCTAGAGCATTCCTGAAGTAATAATACATTTTAAAAAAAATTAACTCAATTCTCAAGAGCTGCACATTGTTTCTCCTCCTCCTCATACGAAAGTTAGAAATGGAAGCTCAGGTGTTCACTTCAAGTTCACCTTCCTCAGAAGTCAACGCTGGAGTGAGGAGATGCACCTCAACGAGTTGTCTGATCCAGCAGTGCCACTGATTTGTGCATAAAACCAGGTGCAGAAAGACTAAATGTAACCTGACACATCTTTGTGTGCATTTTACATACATCTAGGGATGCTAATGTTTGCCAGTGGCTACCTAGAGGTAAAACTGACTTAAAAAAAAACAGACCTTACAGTAATGCTCTGGAATAAACATTTATACAAAAACTTCCACTTTTTTTCTAGAGGATGAAAATGTACCTATTCTTACCCAACTGAGGCTTTCTAAGGAAGCTGAACATGCCAGAGCTATTTAAGCCTCTAAAAAGTCTCATTCTAAGTCTCATTAGTCCCACAGAATAGTCCCACATCTGAAGATACGTATAAAATTCTGAAGCATTGATGCATAGTGCAAATCTGCCAGAGATGGGCACAGAACCAAAGCATTATCTCACACTGCATGTATTAATTTTAGGCAGGTATCACTCAATTCTCCTGCTGAGAAATTTGAACACCGAAACACCCACCAGTTTTCTTATTGCTAGGCAAGGGCTTGACCAAACAGTATTCATGCAAAGGATTCGTCCTCACATGCAGCTACTGATACCGTAAATATTTAGCCAAGACACCATTTTCCTTCCAGCCTGTTTATTAGAGTTTCAGGGTCTACTGTGGTGCTTTGTTTTTGTTGTTTTTTGTGTTTTTTTTTTTAAATTAAAAAGGGTTCACATGAAGTTGCTTGCCCCTGTAAACTGAAAACATTCAGGTTCAAAAGAAGTAAGTTTCCTTACGGGCAAATTTCAATGCAAAACCACACATGATCTTTGGCATGACTGGGTTTGTGGACATTCCCGTGGGTTTGCAATATGTTTGCAACAGTAACCCTAAAGCAAAATGCTGTTTGACTTATCTTTTGTGAGTTTTTCATAACTTCGAAAGAAAGTATCAGACCTTGATTATTTTTTACAACAGCAGGAGCCAATTTTCTCATACTTTTGATTAAATGTATGAACAAATGACTCCAGGTCTGCAAATACCAGTTAAATTTACAAGGTCGATTCCGCCTGAATTGACTATCCAAGCTGAAAGCATTACATTCTTGTATTTGTATTATATGCAAATCCATTGATATTGAAGTCATATATTGGTGTATAAGGCAAATTTCATGAATAAACAACATTTCAGAAGCCTATAAATTAAACTGCAGAAATTAAAGGAGAGTAATTTCTCTCTGTCTGCAATGTCACCTGCAATATTACCGAAGTCACAGTCATCTGTTAAGTACTGGCAAGTTAGCTATATGTCCATTTGGACTCTCCTGACCTCTCTGTCTACACTGTTTCCACAACCCAATATGCCTTGCTTATGTGCACTGAAACTATACAATTGTCTCAGCTGGAGAAAAAAAATGCAGCTCTGACCTGAATAGGAAGATTTTGTAATTCATGCTTATGTGTGTGTGGGCATCCATCCATGTGTATAACACATGTGCATATAGCATGTTATATATGATATTCCTTATCATGTATCATCCTAACACCCAAAAGTGTTGGTAAAGCCCATTTTAACTTCTGGTAGGTCTATGTTTCAGCATCACTGAAGACCCAGGTTTTACATACACAGTTCAGTTTGGATTTTGCTGTGAAGCAGACTGGTGAAGCCATCCAGAAGGAATGGCAGTTGGCATTCAAGAAGCTCTAGGGGCAGCTGAATTTCTTTCTTACAAGAAATACTGTTCAGAGAATTTGAGACCATAATGGGGAAAACTATACACAGGATATCAGAATGTACAGCTGCAAATAGGGTATTTAGTGGTGGGAAGGGAAGGTTATTTCTATTCAGTTTGTTTAAGAGTGAAAAATTGGATTTGATGGGAGCTGAAAAAGCAGGGATGGGGGAGGCGATAGAATAAAAAAAGATACAGTTTACAATTGCTGCTTTAAAAATACCAGATCAACTTATTTGGGATCCTATCTTGATCTCTCTTGCAGCCAGTTTACTTCCATTGACTTCAGTGGAGCCATCCAGGATTTGCACTAATATGACCAAAATAGGCACCTGGCCTTCTAGATGCCAGACCAATATGTACACACAGGGGTATTTTAAAGTAACAGTAGCTTTAAAAAAAGCTCCCTTTAGGCTCATAAGCTTTTACAGCTTTCCTTTATCTTGGGAACACAGGCAGGGGAAAGATGGGGAGAAAGAGTAAGAGAGAGGGCTTTGAGTTCTTGCATCTGTGTCATAGAAGCTGCTTGTAATATAGACCAGTTCCTTATGCACTGGGGGATACTAAAAGTCAACACAAGTGTTTAGTTCTGGCCATAAAGAATCTAAATAGAGAGAGAAAGATCAAGATGGCAGCTAAACTTTCAACTATTTACAAAATAAAATTACAAACCGGCATTCCAGCTTGAAAAGGAATGACACATTTATTGCTTTCTCTGTAGCAGTGAGAGCACTATTTATTGTCTCTTAAGGACTATGTGGCAGGTTAACAATGCCTTCAGTTTTACACCAGCAAAAAAGAAAGAAGCTCACTAATGAACCAGCCTGCCCAGCTTGTTTAGGGATATAATGATTTCTTAGTGGTACAGTACTCTGTGAATAAATATCTCCAGCTAGCTTGGTACATTAACATGTGGTACTTGTTAAAACTTCTTTTTCCCTGAGATTCCTTTTCTGAGGTTGGGAGGAGATAGAGACAGGATTTAAATTGTTCAAAAGCTAAATCTAGCCAATTAATCCTAACTTCATTACACTGTTCTAAAATTCTCTCTATACAGAGGAGATGCCAGATTTACAATACTAATGCAAAGAACAGGAGAGGTATCAAGGGTATTCACAACTGTGGTATTTCAGCTTCTCAGCATTACTACTGGTACCAAAGCCATCTTCTGTGGTGCCACACCTACCTTGCAGATGATTTGTCTGAGACTGCAGATGAGGCTTCCTTTTGGAGGTGCATTTCTCTTTGCTGCTGCTCCTGTTCTCTGCTGGTTTGGTCTGAGGAGGGTCATCATTTGTAGTCAGATATTTGAGAAGTTCAGAGCAGGGACGCCTTTGAGGCTTCTGCTGTTGACAAATGCTCTTTGCTTTATTGCTCCATGAATTTTCAGTCTTAAAAACAGGGCATAATAAAATAAAATAGAATAAAAAAAAGCTAAAATTAGTGAGCTGAACCTTATCAGAATGGATATAGGTTTTCTGAAGAGATGAGATTTTCAATGAAGTGCTCAGTCTAAGTGTACTAGATCTATGAGCTGTGAATAATTGTTTGCAGAACAAGGAAAGAAAATTACATTTAAAATTCCTAAATGACATTTATGCAGCTTTTTATTTCATTTCTCCTACATTTCAATGTTCCTACTCAGCAACATGTAACTAACAAGACCCTACAGCGCCTTTACTGTGAACAAAAAATAAGCTGGTTTAAACCTTAATTTGCTGCTGATTGCTTGAGCCCAGTATTCACAACTCTCATAAGTACCCCTAAATGCTCTGTTTTCAGTTACAGTGAACGGCAAGACAAACATCGTTTAATACTGCCTGCTAACAGAATTATGTCAGAGCCCCCATTCTATCCAATTAATGGCTGATACACATCTTTTGCCAAGAATCCAGCGTCATCTTTCTTAGCTCAGACAGCTGGTAAAATGGCAGTCCCACATCCTGGAGTCGCTCATAAACACCATCAGCAAATTTTATCGTACCCCCTACTACTCTAGATATCAATAAAGTAGGCTAGAGTAACAGACGGTGGGACTACAACTGAACTCTGCCAAAACAAAAAGCATAAACAAAATATTCAGAGCATAAAGGAGCTCAGGTGATTTTCGGGAACCCAGTCTATAATCTGTTCACATTTTTTTTAAGCAGTTGTAAGATAGTATGCAGATTAATAGAATACATACACAGCTACTGCCTGCTAGGTCGCTAAAAGCATGAAAGTCCTTGTTACACTATTTTGTTCTTTTTTTATTCTTTTTTTGTTGTTGTTATTACAAAGATTAAGTTTGTACCTTAACAACCACAGGGCTTGTTCTGATCCTGTGATTAGTGTTTGCATGGTTTTGTGTGCTGAGACCACTGCATTCATTGTAATTTAGCTGAGTGTTGGCTGGAGCCAGCAAGAGCTTCTTAAGCTACAAACACATCAGGGAAAGGGAGGTGGAAGGAAAAGAGTAAAGTTATGCATCTTTATGGATTAAAATTACTTATCTACATTTTTGCACAGTTACTTAAAATTAGCAGTATCAATTTCAGCAAGTAAAGTACAGTAAAACAGAAAGAAGGGCTCAATATTCCCCAGAGCAAACAGATTTTATTTTCTTCTGGTTTAGCAGTGTATTTCTGCTTCCTTTACTGCAGTATACTGCAGGGCAAGCGGAAATGACAGGGGTCTTGGATTTCTGAATCCATGGCAAAATAAAATTCTTGGTGATCTGTTTGACAGAAGAGGCCTCTGATCCAAACAGAGACATTAACTTTAACAGACTAATGGATACAGTGTCAAGATGCAGGTATCTGGCTCTGCTTCGGCAGAAGCCAGCGATAAGGGGCTTTCAGCAGAAACAGAACCACGTCTCAAACTGGTTTTTACCGAGCAAAATGCATATAAGGTTTCACCCACTTCCTCACCCAAGGTTGGGGTTTGCCCTGATTAGCATTAAGCTGGTGCTTACTGCTCAAATTAATGTTAAAGGCACAAAATAAACCCCACGTCCTCCCAGATTCAATGGGCCCTTTTTTAACAGATCACCAAAAGTGACATCTAAATATACACAGAGAAAAATAGCCCCAGAAATGAAATATGAGTTAATATCCATTACCCTAACTTATTGGAACAGAATAATAAGCAAAAGTGTCAGCCATTAGCAAAAGAATCTCCAAAGCAATCTTTTCAACACACTTTTAAATAGATTCTCTTATTAGTCATCTTAAGGCTATTTCGTGGGCTTTTTTCCCCACTTAATTTTCAGTTCTTGGTTTTCCTTTTCAGTCTAAATGAAAAGTCCAGACCTTACTGTGACTACATCATACCCATGCAGCGGGTAGCCAGAGGCACATCCAATTCTTGTTAAACAGTAGGAAGGGTTCTTACTAGAGACGGCTCTTCTGCCTCCTGAGTTGGAGGGGTGCCGTCGGGCATTGGGGAAGGGCTAGTGGCATTTTCGTTGGTCACATCTCCATCTGTCAGTGCATCAAATGAAGGCAATCCATCTTCATCCACAGGGATGCTGTCCAGTGTTTCAGTGAGAACAGCTAGCAAGTTTGCCTCACTCTCTTCATCTATCTTCTGTGGGAGGGGACAAAAAAAAAAAGCAGAACCAGGTGAGAAGAGAAAAGGAACAAAATGATGAAATGATGCCTCTATATGTGAAAAAGCAGTCAAAACAGTTCAGCCAGCCCTTGAAACAGAAACCTGCAACAGAACCTCAGAAGATGTAATTAAGCACCACAAAAGGATCCATCTCTGCATTCAATAGAAAACTCTTTGCACTCACAGTGTATTGCTCTAGTTTACTTTTCTTCCAAAATTCTTTTTTTTTTTTTTTTTTAATCTGGTGTTATGTATGATAAGTAATCACCCAGGAATAGTATTACAGGATGTGCTTAAGCTGCTGATACCTAACGATGGTGTCAGCCCGGGCTGTCTCTTTCTTTCTCTTTTCAACACTGAATATCAGCTAATTGACCTGACAAAATTACAAGAATCAGAGAATAAGACAGCTCATCAGAATACCACAATGAATCATGGTGAAATTTGAAAAACCTTTTTCACATATGCAGTCTGGCAAAAGTGAGAAAGGGCTTCCCTTTCATATATCTGGAAAACTTTGCTCCAAACCCCCAAAAGAACAACTTCTTACTCCTGAGTATCTGGCGTAAGGATTCATATTGTAAACGGCAGGCTCTTTGGGATTCTTTCAAATAAATACACTAGGCCTTTGAAGTTGTCCTTTCGAGTTATGGCATTTGAGTGCTCAGTGTGACTATTATATGCATTTAACAGATTCCTACTGCAACTATAAAAAGTAGATAAATTCCTAATCAGATGTGGCTATAATGTTAATTTATGTTAGATATCATACGTCAGCAACAAGACAAGTAATTCAGTGTGCAAAGGAGAGAAATAAGCAGATGAGAGCCACCCTGCGAATAAAGTCATGCTCCAAATCCAGCTTTTCACAGTCATTTTTTTAGAGGAAAATTACAGTGTCACTTCTAGAAAAGTTCAAACAGGCATTATTGGAAAAAAAACACACCCCTTTGCAATATAACAAAGTGCTGACTTTTTTCCCCAATAGCATTTCAAGCCCGTCACAGGCTGTGGGACGAATCACCCCCTCAGTCCTGGGGTGGCCACGGAGGGGTCTGGCTGCCTGACTCCCACACCAGGAACTGGTGTAGCTGGTGAGGCACATCACTAAGCCTTACAGCTTAAAAATATAGCAACAAAGCTGGAAGTGTTACTATTTGTAATGGGAAATGCCTTCTTTAATAATAGCATGCCAGAAGAAACTCTGATATTTGCTGTTAGCTGCTCAGCTCTCAAGCTTCAAACAGACATTCAAGTGAGCTGACATTCAAGAACAGAAAGTTGAGTGGACACCGGTCCTCATCACAGCAATTTCAATTAGTTTTGTACAAGTTTCAACATTCAAACACCCCAGAGAAAGCACAGGATGTGACAAAGAGGACTCTGTTAAACAATTAATGTCACTTTCCATTATTGCTTCAGTCCCAATTTACAGAGCAAATAAATCAAAGTCACCACAGATGAAACACACTAGCTGGCTAACACATGTCTATTCACAAACGACATGGCAGAAGGAACACATTAGTCAAGAAAATGACATTGTGAGATAACCTTTTAAAGGTTTGACTATGCTATTGCTCCTAATTGTCTTAAATTGTTGTTTATAAAGAAATACAACAATTAGATACAGCAGAAATGGCACTGAGGGGAGATGCAGAGGGAGAGATGGTTGGCTACATCCACATTTGAGCAATAATCACTGAAGCAGCAGCTTTCTGTTTTGCTGTCGTAACCTGAGTCTTGGTGTTGACAGCACTGGGGAGAAGCAATGCCAGGGCCAAACGCAGGCCCTTTCACGGCTTCAGCACTGTCACCACAGAAGTTCATGTTTCAGACTGGCATCCAACCTGCACGTCGCACAGCCTTGGTGAATCAGGAGGAGCTGAGCACCTTCAATCTCCACTGAGGTCAGAGGAAGCACTGTGTGTGCTCTGACGAACTTGCTCCACCATGCTCCTAACTTTCAAGCAAGGTCTCACTAAAAGGGTTTGCTTCCATCTAAAGGAGGAGATCCTAAGTATTCAGACCACCTAAATGTACTACAGCATGTAAGAAAAAGGCGTGGAGGACAATCTCAAACATCAACTTGCAAGGCAAACACATGCACTTATTAAACACTTACAAAAACAATTAACAATGACCACATCTTGCTAACTAATGGGTCTTTTTAATGCAGAAGCAGTTATGCATCACTTCCCAACCACACTGCATGAACTTCTTAACGTCCTTGGTTGTTAGTTTAACATAAATGCATGAGAGCCAGAGGGGTTTTGACTGATGTAAATTTTCACCCAGCTGAAGGAGCCAAGGAACCTGAGTATGTCACCGAACACATGCACTTGCATGTTTCTAACAGTAAAAGTTTCTAGCATATCCAGAATGGCATTAGCTCTCAAAATAATTAAGACTTGGCATTTGTGTCACTGTGCATGGTCAAACACAGTGGCTAGTGCTGCAAACTGCCAGAACACCAACCAGTATCCAAAATGAGTGATCCAGGTGCCTAAAGACCATGAAAACTGGGCTACTGCCTGCTTTTACATGTTTTGCTCTAATGATTTAATATTTCTACAGCACTAAAAAGAATTGTCTGTCTAAAAAACACTTTATTAGTTGTGTAACAATTTTATTCTAATTGGGTTTCTGCCTTCAGTAAAATGTCTCCAGAGATACTCTCTCTTTGGCCAGTGAAAAGCTATATGAAATGAGTTGATAATTTACCCACACAAAGGTATTTAAATCCTCTACCCTTGATAATTCTTTCTCTTTTGCTTATTCTGCCTATTCATGGAGACAAGTTCACCTCATGGTTAGCATTTTATGTCTGCAATACCTGTTACTTGTCAGCAATCTCATTACAGAGGCCAAAGACTGAGTTGTAATGGAGACTCAGCCACCTTGTCTTTCATGTGAATCCCTTTCAGGTGCATATATTGAGCAACATTGTGATTTTTCACTAGAACTTTCTTCCTTTAAAAAATAATGCAAAATTTTTAAACGACTATCATTGCTATCACCAATCCCTTCTTGAAATCCTTGAAGCCAGAATGCAGATGTCCTGACTCAGGACTCTTCTGTAGCTCTCCTGCAGTCAGCAAAGGTATGCTGATTCACTCCAGAAGACGGTCAAATCATCTTTTCCAAATGTTACTAATATCTCCAACATCTTCCCTCTATTTGACCCCCCTTTACCTTTCATTTGTGGCTATTACATGCAAAGCTTTTGCTTACAGTATCTCAAGAAGTGAAATCAGCTAATGAATGAGAATGCTGTGAAGTTTCTTCACTGATTATTTTAACAGTGCAGAGGCCCATAATGATTCACACTGAAAGATCAGGGTCTTAACTGCAGTATTAATCCACAGCCCTGAGGAGCTGGGAGCAGTGGCAGCTTGCCACATCTTTGTAAAAAGCCCAGGAAACTTTGGGACAGTTCTGCAGCTGGTAGAAGCTGTCACCACTCCAGCAGCCCAGCTCAGTAAGCAATTGAGAGCAGCCAGGTGTACACCTGAATTCATGAGGGATCACCCTTTCAACATATCAACTCATTTCTCCTCGGTAGCCCAAGATCTATTCATAGCACTATTAACAAAGAAAATAAAAGATCTTCCTCCAGCTGAAAATATCCTAGTGATCTAAAAATATGAATACATTACGGCACTGCTTTCAAAAGCACAAAAATTACTTGTGAGAACATCTGGGACTTCCAACAGCATTTAATTCTTTAATGACACATTTTGGAATAAGAATGCCCTTAAGTCACCACTAGGAGAAACGAGGGGTACAGTTTTTGCACTTCAGGATGCAGAGGCACCAAAAAGCTCACCAACACCACCCCAGCCCTGAGCATCTCCCATCAGCAAACATGCAGGAGTAGGGGGCAGATGGTATCTCAGCCCTGGCCCCACAAACCAAACTTTGCAATATGAGGATAAGGAGCCACAGGTTGGGCAAAAGCACAGGGAAGTTAGAAGGAGGGAAGGGATTAGGATGCAGGCTGGTCTTCCTGCTCCTGCCAATGAAAAATGAGCTGAGATCAGGGATGGTGAAAGGAAAGAATTACAGATCAAGTTTTCCTTCTTCTAGAGCAGAAGAGGCCTACCTGCACTGGCACTGGCACAGACAGTGACTTTGCTGTCTTCTCAATCTGCTGTCCAAGGCAAGTGCCTCCTTCTTGACTTAGAGCTGGCTGTACCTGGCAGTATTTTCTCCCAGGGTGAAAGACGAATCAGCAGTCCAAATGGAAAACTCTTTATTCTACCCCACCTGCTCACAACCAGTCCCATTCCATTAAATATTCTGAGAAGCATCACAGCTTTTATTTTACTGTTCAACTGCTCTGCAAATCCTTAGACATCCTGTGCTCTCTTACAGTAAAAATCCACACGATGCATTTCCAAGGTCTGTTAGTCTGGTCCCAAGAGACCTTCTCATAATTGAAATACTTAAGTCCAGAGCTATCAATTATCTTTAAAAACAAAATGGAGTTCCACTAGGAGAAAATTACAGCCAAGTTTCTTTATATGTAGTAGAAATGAGGGGATTAAATATCACCACCCCTGTGCATATGCCTTTAGGGTATAGGAAGAGAACAAGAGATCTTCTTTTTGAAGGAGACAGAGATACTCACACTACTCACAAACACATGGCAAAAACCACTTGAATGCGGAGCTCACCTTCCGATTTCAGCAGTCCCATTGCCCAACATAAGGACTGCATATGTATCTCATTTGTAGGACCAATCACATCTCCATATTTATGAAAAAGCTTCATTCCAACTGGATTTCTGGAGATATTGTACAGACCTGAAGAAATATGCTCTGCCATCCCACTCTCCCCCCCTCTCCCCCCAGTGTTAAATAAATACTGTAATCATACACAATGCAGGTCCTGCAATGCTTTACTTTCAGAGCTGGGTACCTGGAGTGGAATGAATTCCCAGCGTTGCTCCCAGTGACATTATGTGAGAAGGGTCC